TATGAAGAGCTACATACTGGGTGTAAAATAATTGCTATCATGGCTTTGTCAAGCTGCTGCCTACCTACCTTGCAAAAGACTAATACAAAGCAAATCCAGTAGAACTTTTTTATTGCCTACCTGGAATGGGTGACAATAGTTGAATAAACTTTTGGCTCTCAAAATGGTATTGGTGCCGTATTTGTTGGTACTCGCCGATACCGATACCACCATTTTTATGCTGGATCGGGGCCCCACCCGATACTGTTATCGGTTTCGGTGCAACACAAGTTTTTACTGTTGGTTTTGACATAATGTTTCCCCAAGCAAATGTGTTAAATTCAGTGTAAAAGGCCACACAGCTTGTGCTACAACTCACATGACAAAAGAAAGAAAGTGAACTTTATCCAGGATGCGTCAAAGTAAGGGCTTATTTATTGGTTTCCCATTTTCTTTTTTTTGCTCTTGACATTTCTACTACTGTACCATGAACTGCAAAATATGTTTATTTGATGGGTCAATATATACATTCCTATTAACATTTTGTAAATGAATGAAAGATTTTTTTTTTCATCAAAGTAAAACTAAATGTTCTAGTTAATGTTACAGTAGACACCATGCATTTCCACTCTGTTATTTATTTATTTGATTAAATATTTCACTAAAAGTAAGCAGTGCATTGTTTTTTTTTCCTGCCTTCATTTTAATTTTGACAGTGTGTTCTATCCACTTGAAATCAAGCTCAGACATCAATTATTGTTGAAATGCATTTCTAAGCCCTTTATTGTTGCGTTACTGTGGTTTATAGAGGAAGTTATGTTGATGGCGGTCTTTAGTGACGTACAAAAAAAATCACTTAATGTTTCAAAATGTTTTCATGTCACAACCATTGACATCTTTGTATTTTACTGAGATGTTATGTGATTAACCAAAAGAAAACAGTAAAACATCATGGAAATTTGTAATTGAAATATTCTAAAATTCTAAAAATGTGTTGCACAATTGTACCCAGTCCCCTTTACTCTGACACCCTTGAATAAAGTATAGTGTGACCATTTTTTTCAAAGCTCATCTTTAAACCTAGTATAAATATGTCTGCTTTGTGAATGCATATTTTTTTTAAAGAAATTAGTAAAACATCCACATGAAGCTGGGGAAACACACTAGAAAGGTAACAATTAATGCTCAACATTTCAGGGTTTTGTATATAAAACACAATTATAAGGTCTTCATATTTTCACCTATCATTTAATTTTTTAAAATAGAGTAAGGCACATCTGGTAAATCTACAAGGAGATGATTGTGCACTAACAGGATGGCTAAAGAGATCATTAGCAAGAGAAGCAGCAATGAAACCAGAACAGCTGCAGATCCATATATTAGCTTAGTTAATCTGTTCAAAGAAGTGGTATTAGTTGTGCACTCCCCAATCTGACCTTTTAGAGAGACAAAATGTTCCCTTTTAGGCCTATGTGCAAATCATAAGGCATGTGGAATGGCAAACAAATTCATTGCCAGAGGTAAAGAGCTGGTAGAGATACATACCCCAATAGAGAGATAGCTCTTATTGTAGCAAAAGGAGTATGCAGATGGAAAGCTTTTGCTAAAAGGCTTTTTAAACCAAACATTTCCTTCTGCTTCACAATAATAGAAATCCCAATGGTTAAAGCAAAGCCCAATATTTAATGGAGCATATTACCGGAATAGAAATAGAATTGAATATACAGTTATTAAACATATTGAATAAAGGCAATTACTCATATTAACACACTTAATATCAAAGTGAAAGTTTAATATGGATAGGGTTGCCAACTCCCTGAAAAAAGGGGCACCTCATGTGCTTGCCGTAAGGTTGCCACTAGCCCCCTATGTGTGTGAAAAGATATATATATATATATATATATATATATA